GACAGACAGACAGACAGACAGACAGACAGACAGACAGACAGACAGACAGACAGACAGACAGACAGACAGACAGACAGACAGACAGACAGATAGATAGATAGATAGACAGACAGACAGACAGACAGACAGATAGATAGATAGATAGATAGATAGATAGATAGATAGATAGATAGATAGATAGATAGATAGATAGATAGATAGATAGAGGACTTCCTGATTGCGTGAGATTCATTTAGCAAGGTCAGTGTTGTTTGATTCAAGGCTCACAAAGCAGTACAAATTCCCCCAGTAAACAACTAAACAAAGGCAGGAAGTGACTGCCTTCTAAGCCCCTCTCCCTTGTTCAGCAATTCACCTTGTTCCAGCTTAGCAAGTCAACAAAACATCATTCAGCATCAGACAGACAGGGTGCCTCCAGCTTGCCAAAATTTCAACATTCGGCAGACTTTAAAGTTACGCAATAAAAAGAAACCCACAAACTCCCACTTCCCTCCACCTGTCTGGCAAGGTTAGGATTAAGTGGGAGGAAGTCAATAATTAATGGGAGTTGGTTTAGTACAGCAAACATTAACTGAGCACCAAAATCCATATAGGTCGGTGGAAAAGCTAAAAGAAAGGACATTCAGACCAATGGTTACAAATGAGAAAAGCTTTAGGTTTAGGATGTTCTTCAGGCTAAATTTTCTACCTGTTTGTTTACATTCTGGCTCATTTTTGACCACAGAAGTCCCTTAGATGCTGAAGAAACTATTTTGAATAAGTCGATCTGGACATGGTGGAACACCTAAAATGCCAAAACTAAGCATTCAGAATGGCAGTCCAAAAAATCAAAGGGTATCAAAAGTAGCTACGCCCATCTTTCATGTACTCTCTATGACTCTGAACATGTGGACTTTTAAAACAGAGCTGTGCATTTTTACCTTGGTAGGTCTGCTGGGGCTCGCATCTCATTTCTCCAATCCCATTGCCATAACAATAACAGCGGTAGTAGATGCCATGGATGGCTTTGTCCCACGTCTCGCCGATCTGATAGAACGTCCTGGTTTGTGGTTCTTGACACTGATCTATTGCAGAAAACACAAGGAGACAAAAGAGTGGAGCAGATGGGACAGACGACAGCGGGGTTGTTTTTCTGAAGCTGCAGCAGTTCTCAGTATTTAGTCCCCAAAAAGCCAATCAGTAACGAGCCGTGAACGTACCAATAGCGTCACACTTCCAGTATCCACGTCCTTGTCCGAAGCAGGTGCAGTTCATCATGTAGCCTTGGTCGTGGCGCTTGGTGAATTCCTGGTTTACTTCATAGGTCAAACCATCAACTATACACTGATCTGGATGCACAGAGAAAAGACAGGAAGATGAATTCACCTTTTATTTAAACTTTCACATTATTCGCAAAGTATTTGAAGACAAAATATAAAAGGTTTTGTTAGATTTAGCCCTCTGACCTAAAAGCTGTGAGTAAGCAACACAGTTCCACTCCCCACGGCCGTTTCCCAGGCATGTGCACTGCATCATGTGACCCAAGACATCATGGCGTTTGTCCCACTTGTCGCCCACACGGCGCATCACTCCATCACTGGTGGTGCATACCTCTTCATGAGCTAATTAAAGAAGGAAACATAAAAAAGCTATCAGTGTGTTGGTACATATATACATTCACATGGTGCTGCGTATGTCCAGACACAGAGTTTTTCTTGGTCCACTTCAACCCAGAATTTGTATGTTACTGTTACGTAACAGCCTTAATAGCATCATCACTCTCCCATGACCTCTTTAAGTGCCAATTATTTACTCCCCAATTGTCTACAAGTGAACCTTGCAACCAAATCATCATTATAGTCTGTGAGAAACGACTTGATGAGAAGAAGACAAAAAGCATTTTGTGCAATCGGAACAAAAATGGCAAAAGTATTTAAATGCCCAGCTGTGTTATATAACAATATACCAGTTCAGTACCTTCAAATGAGAAAAACAGCAAACACACTCACCAGCCATGGGACAGAATCCAAAACGCTGTTCTGAATCATAGTCGTAGGTGGTGCCACACCATCTCATGTTGTCACGGCGCCCATCGGTGGTGCAATCGGTGTAGTTGCGACCGCTGTAGAGGAAGGGAAAGTGGCACAGGGCCCCATTGGAGTTCCCACCCCGTGTTGTCACAATTGCTGGATTCAAGAAAGTACACATACAAGTTAATGCATGCTTAATTGGCTCTAACCACACAATTATTCACACAATCTTTATTATGTGAGTGGATAAACTAAAGATGCTAGACAACAGTAACTGCACATCAATTTTTGGGGCAAAGTTGCCGTTTACATCTATGTTCCTGAGTCTCACCATTCTTTTCAGTGCAGAAAGAGTACTGCTGGTCTCTCTGATAGTCTGAGGTTGTAGAGCACCACAGCTGCCCATCTGAACGTCCATCTGAGGTGCAAGAGTAGTAGGTCTTCCCCATGAAGACAAAGGGGAATACACAGGGTTGGCCATCAGAGTTCCCACCGTACACCTGGTTCCTGGCCTCTGTGGGAAAAGGGGAGGGAGGGTGGGAAAAATGACTTCAGTATACCAATCAAAGAGCAACATGCAGAGCTGAATGGAACCAACAGAAAATTACAAAAGACTGCAATTTCTCTGGGATTGACTCCAAGAGCCACTTGAGCCAGCCTCAAGACTTCTGTATTAAAATACCCAATTTTATTTGCTTCTGGTACACACCCCATTCTTGACAGCTGACTCCATTGCCCAAACAGGTACAGAGCATCTGTTTGCTGCCCTGGTTTTTGATCCAGCGCTGTCCATCGTAGTAGTAGGCTCCAGAGTCGGTGCGACAGGTTCTCTCAGCGGGAAGCTCAAGCTGCCGGACTGGGGTCAACACAACTCTGGCTGTAAACACATTTTAAAAAACAAACAACGTCAGGTCTGTTAACAGCGACAAGCTCAGAGCTCTTGTTGAGCACTGGTTTCTGATTTACAAGTCTCACCTCTTCCTGAGCTGTGTCTTTCACACTTTGATTCTCCTCTGCCGTTTCCTAGGCACACACACTGCAGGGGATGTCCGCTTGTGTCAGTCCTCGTCCATGTGTCTCCAATACGGTAGGACCTCCTTGTATCCTGGTCATTGCAGCGGTCTGGTTGGTGTACAACAGTGGTTAGTAGCTGCCCCTGAAGAAAAGCTTGCATTTGTGCTTGTGTATGTTTGGATTCTGCTTACTTCTTGAGGTGCATGTGATGCGTCCATTCCCCTCGCCCATACAGGTGCAATCCAGCATCATCCAGCCTTGGTATGGCTTCTCCCAGGTGTCTCCTACAGCATACGTGGCAGCTAAGGTATTGTCATAGCACCTTTCCCCTGCAGAAAAATAAACAAATTTTGATTTACTGAATATGCAGAATCTAAATCACACTGGGCAATTTGTATTAGACATAAACCAAACAAAAATCAATAGCTGGAGTGAAAGATGAGCAAATCAGAGGACATGCTGTCTCACTCGCTTATCTTGTTTGACTGGACTCATGTCAAATATTTGCAGTGGTATCAAAGAGTTACGCTTCTGGGAAATGTGTGTGTGTGCATCCATGTTTGTGTGTATGATGAATATATAAACTTTGATCTTTTGCAATATTTTACATTTGTCTGCTTTTCATAGTTCATTTGTGAAATTTTCTTTTCTGCCCTGCTCACCGAGAGGTTTGCATGTCCACTCTCCTTTGCCATTTCCAAGACACACACACTCCAACATGTAGGCACCGGTGTCATGAGGCCTCTGCCAAGTGTCCCCGATTTTATAAGACCTCCCACCATCGTGGCATCGATCTGTGAATGACAAAATGTGAACTTGCTGATTTCAAAGACCTCTTGTATATGCGAGATGGCACACATATACAAATTCTGGTTCAATAATTAAAACTTAATTTCAGGAATAAACTGAACCATGCAGAGGTATTGCCATGTGTGTCATGCACTTTGACAAAGGAAAAACTACCATGCTAAGACATACCACTCCAGCACATTATGCTGTTTCAACAAGGTTAGTATTTGGTATTCTAGGAACTCACGCGCTATTGTGCAGCTGATCTTGCCGGAACCAATGCAGGTGCAGTCCCAAGTCATCCTCTCATGTAATCTCTCATAGGTTTCACCCACCTGGTATGTCCGGTCATTGTACTTATCATAACAGGATTCCTCCACTGAGAGGAAAAAACAAACAGCACAAAGTTAAAGAGGCTCTTACCGAGAAGCTGTTCTGGAGTCTTCTCTTGCTGCGTAAAAACGCACAACATCTGTGCCTTTCTCCGTATATTCGTTGCTTTTTGTGTGTGTGTTTTGTTTTTCACTTGTCGGGATCAACACAAGAGTCGTGAAACAAGTGATAGTGCACTACAAAGACGCACTAACCTTCAGGCTTAGTTTTACACTTGATGCCTGCTGCTCCACTGCAGGTGCACACCAACGTGCTACCAAGGTAAGGTTTCTCCCACTGTTCGTTCACTCTGTATGAGCGACCGTTTTCCTCACAGCCGACTACAAATAATATATTATTAAACATTTTAACAGTAGAATGAACATTAATCTTTTTGTTTGCTTTGGCTCACATGGAAAGAAACATATCGAAATCACGTGTTTCTTTGTTGTTGTTGTTTTCATTTAACACAAAACGCACTAGAAATATCTTTCTAATGCATGAAGTTACACAGTCAGGCCCCCTGAATTCAAGAAGAAGTTCTTGTACCAACCTGGATTAATAGCCGATGTATCGTGAAGCTCGGGATACACCTGATACTGGCCAGTTTGTCTTTTGTTCTTCTTTGGCAAGCCGTGAACTGCGCTGCTTACGCACAACGCAAGCAGTAACCCTGTGAGCGGGCTACCCTTCATTTTATGGAACGGATATTTCAATGAAAAGCAGAAAAAACCTAGATGATGGGAAAAAAAGCAATAGCAAAAAGTAAAAAAAAGCAAGTGAAGTATTAAAGGGCTTGGAGAGAGCTGGTTCCTGCCCCTTATTCTCAGCTACCTCGGCTGCTCCTTCTCGGCAGTTCACTTGGCCGAATCGCAGCTGGTGCGCCAGACCTAGCAGAGGGCTGCGCGCTGGTTTTATACTGGGACCGCCACAGCAGCAGAGGAGGGGTTTAACGGGAGACTGGAAGAGCCGCCCGACAAAGTGTGAGCAATACTTATAATCCTCATTTTGAAGAAAAAACATCAAGCAATGAAGATAAATAAGCTTCTGTAATCTGTTCATCTGCACACATGCTGCCCTGTGTAGGGTTGGGAAGTTGGGAATATATATATATATATATTAGTTAATTTCCATGACATGAAATAAAATATATATATTCATATTAAATATCTCAAAAATGAAGTGAAAGAACATTTCCAAGGTGGGCGGAAACAGTAAACCAGAGCACATTGTGCTGTTTTGGACATGTCCTGCTGCATGAGCTGTTACTCATGGGTCTGGTCAGGAGAGCAGCTACTGTGTGCGCGACTGCGGACTGTAATAGTTCCTGCCTCAGGTTCAAGGAACAAGTTATGCCAGAGGACTGAAGAATTAAACAGCAAGCAGATGTTTTTTTGGGAAACAGAGGAAGAAAAACAGCAAAAGCCAAAAGCACAGTGAGTGCAACTGAGTCACCAATCTCCCCTGTTTGAAAAAAGCCTCTGAATTCTTTCCACGTGTGCAACAGCGCCAAAGCGTGGAGACTTGAAACACCAGAGAGTTTCAAGCGGCGAGCCTTAAAGTGTTACTTAACATCAACTTCCATATTCACTGCTGTGCAACAGGTTTCCTGAATGTGCACTCATGCATTTTCGGGAGGGTGATCCTGGTGTAAAAGAACGCATAAATATTTGAAAGAGAGAAACATTTACTCCATAGAGTGGTGCATTTTGGGTATGACTTAATTTCTTGGGTTGTTATATCTCTGTCAGATTTATGAGCTGTCTCTGTCAAAGCCCCTGGAAGGCTGCCTGGCTTATATCATCTCTTCTTTGCTCACTGTCTCTGTTTTCCATACATAAGATCTATTTTGCAGCAAAGATTTATCCCTCACGCTGGTTGTTTTCATAACGATTTCTTTGTTCCCAGAATGATTTGTATTTGAAAGCTCAGTTGGATACCTCATAATCTCTGAAAGCTGGAACTGCTGCAACTGTTTTCTAAAGTATGATTGGTTTAATTTAGTGTCTGTCATCTTTTTCCACTGATATCAAAACAACACTTTCTTACACAAAGGAATACAGTTGAAAGCAAGACGGAGGGATGTGGAACATCTTCATTGCATTATACCCTAACAAACCTGTAGTTATCAAAAAAGCCCACAGATTTAGATCACCTAAACAAGTATGTACGCCTTGATGTATGCACTGCACAATATTGTAAAATATAAAATGTTGAGCTTTCCTAAACAGTGTTTGCAGTTTTTTCACTTGTATTTTTATTCCCAAGAGTTTGTGAGAAGACGTGGGGAATTTGTTTCTCTTTCATGGTAGAAAATTGTTCACTATCTGCCCCAAGTCATTGTTGGAGTGATATGTTTCATCCTTATAGCCACATTTACCAAAAGTTGATCAATATTGGAATTACTGGAATACTTTTTAGCTTTACTCAAGTTAAGCCAGCATTCGTTAAAATATGTTCAACACCATTCGTTAGTGTTCGTTGGTCTTAGAAGATGGTTACATTGTAGTTGAAAAGGGAAAGACATGGTCAGCAACAATACTCAGGTAGGCTGTGGTGTTTAAACAATGCTCAGCTGGTACTAACGGGCCAAAAGTGCACCAAGAAGATATCTCCCACACCATTAAACCACCAGCCTGAACTGTTGATACAAAGCAGGATAATTCTGTATTTCATGTCGTTTATGCCATTGTGGACTTGCTTTCCTGATCTTAGCTGACATAAGTATCACCTGGTGTGGTCTTCTGCTGCTAAAGCCCATTTGCTTCAAGGTTCAATGCGCCACGCATTCTAAGATGCTCTTCTGCATTAGTTTAAAGGAGTCGCTATTTTTGTGTTACTGTTGCCTTCCTTTTAGCTTTAAGCAGTCTGGCCATTTTCCCCTGATCTCTGGCATCAACAAGCCATTTTCACCCAGAGAAATGCCACTTGGTGGATATTTTCTCTTTTTCAGACCATTCTCTCTAAACCCTAGAGATAGTTGCACAACAGTCCCAACAAATCACCAGTTTCTGAAATACTCAGAGCAGTCCATCTGGCGCAAAAATCTATTTCAAAGTCACTTGAACCACCTTTTTCCCCTATTCTAATGCTCAGTTTGAATTTCACCAGGTTGTCGTGACCATGTCTGCATGTCTAAATGCATTGAGTTACTGCATTAATTGAAGGGGGCAGTGATTGTTAAAGGTCCACAGTGCAGAGTTGGTCAAATCTGTCCCGAAGGTTTCTGACAAATATATACAAAATCCAAAGGGTAGAAACAACAGCTTGTGAACTATTTGTTGCTAAGCTTATCAGTTAATTGCTCTGTAGCCTTAAGTTAAGTAGACAAAGCTGGTGTTAATTTCATTATTAATTTCCTCATCTAATTATTTTCTGGCGAACTACTCAAACTAAAAGGTATAAAATGTGAAATTAAGTGTTTTGTGTGGAGTTTCCTCCTCCAAATCTGGAAGGCAAATTTGTTTTAAGGTGTGCCAATCAGTAACATATGTACAGCCTTCTAGTACTTGTTTGTAATGCGGGGTTCTCCATCCTGGCTTCACCAAACTGTGTACAGCCAGTTTGGAGAAAGAGAGCCAAACGGCCACAGCTGGATGGAAAAACTGGAGAGATGAAATACATAGGGGTGTGTGTGAAATGATAGAGAAAGATGGAAACGAAAATGGAAAGTGTTTGGAAAGAGAAAGCTGGAGGGTAATATGTCTGGCTTATAGACTGGAAGAGTGAAGGAGGAGATGAGCAGCAACCATGACTGACTGACTGACTGTCACACCCACTTATGGCTGTTCTTCCACTGTTTGCCTTCAGCTCTCTGCCTGGAATAGAAATGCAATGAAAATCTGAACATGAAGAAGGCGCCGCTCTTCTAGAGGAATATAAGAAACATAGAAAACAAAGTTGTTATGCAGAAGTTCATGCTGCAGACAGTCAGTGGATGAAGACAGTTGAGCAACATAATTTAAGGTTGTCAGCATTCTCAATGATCCTCGTCATTGCTCACGTCTGAATCAGTCAGAATTTTCTGCACAGGATGCGAAGAGCTGCTGCACTGCTGGGAACAAATGTTAGAGGTCGGTGAGGAGGGATGGTGGTTGTGAATGCAAACTGTGACGAAGCACTTACCAAAGATTCCACAACACACTGCTACAAAGCAAAGTTACTGTGGAAACCAGATTGGGTTGGGTCATTTAAAGAGTGACAGTGAGGGTTGGATTTGACATGTGAGGGGTACTAATAACTTCGCTTCATTGCTTGAATTATATGTTGAGTCACACAAGAAAGTCACACGCCCGTGAAATGAGCTAACTTCATGGTCAGGAGTCCAGAGGAGCAAAGAGACCAGGCAAAATGTTGGACACATCACAAAAAGCAACTGAGTTTATAAGCAAATGACTTAAACTCAGCCTTCTGGATGCTACAATGGCTTTTTTTTCTAATGCTTTCTCATTCTTACTTTTTCAACTTCAAGGCTGAAAAATGCCAACATGCCAGAATCTGTCCGAAAAAGTTGACTTTTGGGGGATTTCTTTACCTGGCTGTTAGGGCTTGCATCAAGACATGCCACAATCTAGTTTCTCAAGTGGTTACTGGAGACTCACTCCTAAAGTGAGTCACCCCCATAGACTCTTATGTGAAGATTTTCAGCTTTACACCAAAAAAAATTCAATTATAAAAACATGTATAGGTAGCTATAACTGATAGCTGTTTACTGTGTTTCACCTAAGCTGGTGGAAAACAAGGAACTTGGCCACTTAGCTTTGTTGGTAGTTAGTTAGCAAGTATGCTAACATTAATGCTAAAGTATTTGCTAACTTAGCAAGGTGCATTTATCATTTGTCATTCATTCATTTTTGTCACTAAGTTAGCAAGCACGCTAGCATAAATGACAAATATCAACCAATAACAACCTATAATGCTAATAACACTCTGCTTAAAGGGGGCAAAAAAGAATCAGACTATTGTGCTCAAAGGCGCTAAAAGTGAGGGAAGCTCTTGACAGCTTTGACAAAGAAGGTCTAAGAAGTGGACCCAATCTGTCAACCCAATTTGGGCTTTGACAGTCAGGAAAAATTCGATGGATTAATGAATTTTAAAATACTGGAACCTGCATAACAGATGCCATTTAAATGTAAGCAGTTTGTATTTGGTGATGAATGTTTAGGGTCTGTTTCAATCTAAGAGCAGCGTTCTGCTACTCTCACTAAAATATTAACTATCACCTCCCCTTCTCCAGACAGCTGTGTTTCCTCAGGCCAGACACCGTTTATACAACAATTCCAACTTAATCCTTTCTGTATCGCCATTTGCAGGGCAGCAGTCTTTCCTGATAGCTCTCTTTCGAGCGTGGAAACCTTTTCTGTGTTTTTTACACTATGACGTAAATAAGGACACCGTTAACAGGGCAGCAAATGTCTGTTTCTGTCACGGCTGCCAAGGCGAGCCGTGTGGAATAAATGAGGATCCAAGCGCAGGCAGTCGTAGAGGAGTGAAGATGATTTATTGAACACAAAAGAATGTGGACATAAAAGCAAACGGGGCTCGAACTAAACTAAACTGGGAAACAACTAAACTACAGAGCACAAACCTGAATGAGAACGTGCAGAGGAGGATGACGAAGAACAGCAGGGAGAAGACACGGTGGATACACAGACTGACACTGAGTAATACAGACGAACCGGCAACAGGCAGGAAAACACACAGGGCTTAAATACACACACCAGTAATCAGGGGATGAGAGACAGGAGGGCAACACAGCTGGGAGGAATCAGAGCTGACGGGACAGGGGAAATGTAAACTGAACACACTCACATCAGACATGAACCTTCAGAATAAAACAGGAAACTAACAGACACAGAACCAGACAGGACACTGAACTTGACAGGCAGACTCATGAGCA